GAACTCGTCTGAACGTTCACTTATTGTGTCACTTTTCACTTCGCACAGTCAAGATATYAACAAGCAATGAGAAATACCTTGGTAAATGTTTCCTCATAACTTTGTGTATGAGAGATGAGGGAAAGCGTAATTCACCTTAAGCTCACTCTTACATTGCATTCATTTATTTTCTTTTTATATGTTTACTTGATCACTGTCTATAAACCAAACTGATAAGGCGACAAAGTTTTAACCATAACCCTATCTCATCCTTTCTTTTTGAGGTAGTTTAATGTTGTTGGTTAACTACAAATGCAATAGATGCATTTGTCAAATCAATCTAAGGCTTTTGCAGCCCAGTTGATTTCAGCCTATTGATTGCAATTAGCACCTATAAAACAAATCAACTCAGCACAAACTCAACTTCACTCTTCTTTCCACTCATTGACTTGCCACTGGAAAAACACAAGTGGAAAGAAATGAAATAACAATGAAAGGATGGAGAAAAGGGGGATAGTGAGAGGGCAGGTTGACAGAGAATTTAAGTAAATGCTAATCAGATGACAATCCTCAGTGTATAAACAGAGTAGGATAAATAGCAACATAGGAAATATTGCTTACTTGAGTCATTTTAATTTACCAGGAAGAAACCAAAATAACAAATGAGAAGTGAAAATGTGGTAAAAGATATTGACAAATCTTGCAATTTAATGTCGGAAAGTTTTCCAGCATAAAGCAAGATTGTTGCAAGGAGGAGAAAGGAGTGYAGAGGCAGCAAATGGCTGTAAACTTTTGTCCCATAACATTAAACTCTAATGTAGCTGAAGTAAAAGTGAAAGACAACTTTTTTTTAAATGGTTACACCTTGATATATATATATATATATATATTTGCTGACACAACACTTAAAAAAGTTTAAAAAAAAAAGTAAAAACAGTAACCAGTGGGTAAAGAAAATGGATGGATAGATAGCAATGGTACTAACCATATTCTAAGTATCATCATCATACTCTAAATTTTAACAATTTCAGCACAAAGCACAGCCATTCTTGATGTTAATTTCATCACTCTATTTTTCACCGGCTGTAGCGCTTAGTGAAAGCGATTCACTCCCAAGCTGCTTGACTGTGCTGCCCTGGCATCTTCACACAAATGAGCAAATGCACATTACTCTTGAATAGTCATTTAACAGACTCACCACACATTAGATAAATGATTGTGGCTGGCCCTCTATGTACAAGGCCAGGTGGAAATTTGTCTGAACAAAGGGGAGGCCAGATGCAATCTGCCACAGTCAATGAATTATGAACTCTCATTGGTTCCCAAGTTAGTTATTTGCTGCTGCTTCTGCTGGATTTGAAGGCTCACTAGATGTGGTAGGAATGACTTGGGTATTTGGATAAACTGTTTTATTTTTTTTTACTTTTTATTTCATTTATGTACTCTGTATTTTTGAATAATGATTTACCTGATCAGAGACCACAACTTAATATAAAAATAATAATAGTAATAA